GATAAATTGATTTGGCTATAAGACGCTTGAGTTGAACCACATTAAAAGATTAAATCCAATCTATTAGTTACTTTAACTCAAGAGCTTATATATCGGTTCTTTTTTACTCACACTTTTCCAATGTGGGATGCTCTTTAAGGGTCTTCAGACGAAATCACTACTTCATGATAGGTTTGTGGCTCATTTTCTAATAAACATGTTAGAATATCGGGTTCACTTTCTATGAGAAATGATATAGAGTATTACATCTAGAATGAAAACATTGGAATTTAAATTAAAATGGTATTCTAAGACACTAGGAAATAGTTGTTTGGTTTAGTTCCTCACAATTGATTTAAAACAGAGGTTTGTTAGTCTATCACACTACTTCTCTGAAGACTACTATAATCAGCACTATGAGACTACTAAAAAACAGTTGTCTGATTAAAATTCTGGCGTAGTGATTGTTCATGAGGAACCTTCAATTATTGTTGGTTTTTAGCTTTAAAGCTAAAAGCCAAGTGAAATTTAATTGTTCATATAGAAAACTTGATTTTTGTCTGGATAGTTTTGAAAATCAAAAATCATTTAACAATCAATTGTTTATATTGAACAGTCGTTTGTTCTATTTTCCTACTAAGTAAAATTGGGGTTAGGGTCAGTTATGAAAAGGGGTCTTTGTGGAAGACAAAAAATATGCTTTTGTGTAGAAAGATATTTAGAAAATACTTTTCTACAAGTGTAAAAGAGACCTATGTTTGGCAAATAGATAACATAATGTTCTTATTACTCTTACATGAGTTCTAGCTAACACCTAAGTCTTCAGGTCTTTGGTCTTGAACTCTTAAACAGTTCTTTGCTCGTCTAGGCATGTTTGGCACACTTCATAGCACATTGTTTATCATCAAGTTACACTTCAAAATATCTTCACACGTTGTTAGTTATTCATCAAAAGCTATATTTGGAAATCATGCTAATAAAACTAAAACACATCAATAATTTTACCCAAGGTCTAACAATTTCCCTTTTTTATAACGATAAAATATGGAGATATGCATAAAAGAGTCCTTCAGAGATCATATTATACCTCAACACATAAAAGCATATAGATATTCTCCCTCATAAAATACACGCAAACAAGTAAAATGTTTCTCATTACTAAATATAAATCACATAACCACAAGTACGTGAGACGTTCCTTCTTACTATATACTTAATTATTTCTGTCCTTTGAAATTATATATGAAAAAGATTATACCTATACAAAGCTACCAAAACATGCCAGAAAATTAGAAAGAGAGATGGAGGAGAAACACAGTCATGCACATACCAATTGTTGAGAAAGAAAAAAAACTCTATATGTATACATCTAATTGAACCTTTCTTTTGATGCAATTTACTTGATTTAATAATGCAAGAAGCATCCACAATAATTTTGTACAATTTGCCTCGAAATTTACTCAATTTATTCACAATTAACTGGTCATTATTATTTTTATAATGCATCAAAAATTTAATTTTATTTTTGATGTATCTCAAAAATTATAAATAATTATATATGATAAGATACATTCCATTCGATTGATACTAGACCTGGCAGATAATGACCCGGCCTGTTTTTGACCCGAGATCCGATTTGAAAATACTGGGTTTGGAACAAAGGTTTTGCTGACCAAACCCGAGATTAACCGAACCCAAAATTACCCGTTAAAATGGGTCAAACCCGACCAAACCCGAATCGACCTGACCGACCGGCTAATGTGAGAATTTTTCAAAAATCATATGCTTTAATATGTAATAAAATGTTATTAAAATAAGATTTTAATTATATTTGTTTTCTTTCTACTCATTTTTAATGTATAAATTTATATTTTCATATTATCTTACTTTTTCAATTGTTTTTTGCATATTCAATTTTAATATTGATAATCGGTCATAAAAATTACTTAAAATTTCAAAAAAAAAATGAAAGTCATAACCCGTTGGATCGATCCAAACCCAGTTACATGTAGCTCTTAACCCGAACCCGAACTTACCCGAACTCGAAATAACCTGAACCCAAAATGATCGAACTTGAACTCGACCCGACCGACCATTTTGCCAACTCTAATTGATACTAAGGCACGAATTAGTGAACGTTAAATCTCATGGACCCATGACTTCATTGTGGTTAGTTAATCAATAATTTGGTCGTTTGTTTGTCCCCCAATAGATATTTGCACCACACAAATCCAATATTTTCTAATTAGATTTGTCATTTGTCGTATTGAACTCCCTAAGCCTCAATTAATTAAATTGGTAATTGATGACAAAATTTCAAAACAAATAACAAATCAAATATCCATTATGTTGGCCTATCAAATATTGGTTGTCCTTAATTATATTGGATTGGGTGATCGTGTGAATATGTGATAGCAATTGATGTGGAGACATTCATGGACCGGAGGTACTTTGTGATCGACATGGATCAATTTAGTGCACACTTTGTTCACGTCCAATCTCTTGCACATACGCAATACAAATCAGCATATTGAAACCTTTTTATGGCTAATGTAATGAAAGGGCTTATAATTTGACAAAAAGACTACAATAACACTAAAACATTATTTCGAGAAAGAAAACTAACGGAGACATAATCAATTTGGAAAGTATAATAACTTTATTTTGAGATGGATGAAAAGAATGTAAACATTAATTTGAAACGAACAATAAAAAAGTAGAACATTAATTTGAGACGAATGGAGTAAAATACATCAGATGATAGTAATTCGATGAGATATTATCTGATTTTATTAAAGTCTTGTCTTATTTGGTTGTAGTTAAATTTAAAATATTTTTTGATTTGATTTTGCTCGTCTAAATCAGTCTAATTTAATCTACTTCCCATAGAAATAAGTAATAACTTGAAGATAACAATCTCCACTTGTAGAGGGTAAAAATTTTAAATTAAAGGATTTGAAATTTTTAAAAGCTCCCCTAGGACACTCTTTTTGTTATTTTAGCTTTCAAACCCTTTATATTGTACATATAGCATCTCTTCTTGAGATGCTCTAAGAAATTAGTCAAATGGAAAAACTATTTGCAAAGTACGAAGAATTTTTTTATTTTAAGTTTATGATATTGAAAATTTGTGATAAAAATATAATCATACTTAAAATTACAACGGGGCGTGAGCTTTAGTTTTCTAATACAAAAACACTAAGAAGTATCAATTACGAAATACGAAGTGTATATATTTTACAGTAAAAAGGAACAAACCATCAAATTATGTAAAATAAAGTTACCAAAAAAATTAAAAAAAAAACATAAGTAATTTTGAGCGCAACGGTTCTTTTGACCTTAGGCTCTCGGGTCATATTATGACCCGAGGCCCCTACGATGCTCCGCTCGCAAAATTGACGGTTCCTACCCCACCTAACCCCCCTAAACCCTACCTCCCTATCTGCCCACCCAGCCCCAGCACCCCCCTCCCCAATTCGCCGATTGGCTGCGGGAGGGGGGCAGGTGCTGAGGTGGGGTGGGAGGTAGGGCATGGAGGGTAGGGTTTAGGGGGGGTCAGGGGGTAGGAACCATCAATTTTGCGAACGAAGCATCGTACGGGCCAGGTCATAATATGACCAGGGTTCCAAGGTCAAAAGATCCTCGTGGAATTTTTAGATATATAGAGCAATATTACAAATAATGTAAATAATTTAAATATGTCAATTATTTTTTAGAGGTGATATAACAATACAATACCATTAAAAACTTGTCTCGAAAGAAAAATTTATACACTAAAAAAATAAGGAAAATTAATATCACAATATTATTTTTATCATATTATACGGAGTATTTCATATTAAATAAGGGATATACGATCGATTTTAAAAAATTAATACTTTAGCAAGTCAATCTGGTCGTGTTTACGTTCAGTCGGGTTACGTTCAACTAGTTCAATCGGATTTGACCCATTTTTAGAGGGTCATTTTGGGTTCAATCGTCTTATGGTTTGATCAATCAAAATAATTAGCTCGGGACTCAGAGTCAAAAACATGTTAGTTCAATTTTTGAAAGGTTTAATTGTTATGTTATTTTCTAGAAAATAAATACTTTTTTCATTTGGCCAAAAAATAACATTTATCCTCTAAAGTACTTATTACTCCTTTTAATTGGGCCATTTCTAATGTTATTTTTCGGGCCGTTTCTAGTGAAAAGAGTATGTGTTTTCTAATTGTATTTATGTTGTATATTTGTTATAGCCATTTCTAATGTTATTTTTTGGGCTCATAATCAAGAAGAATATGGAAATTAACAAAATTAACAAATTAAAGCTCATTGGAAGCAAGCGTATGAATCCAAATGTAGGTACACGTACTAAATCACTCTTATTATGCATGCTTATTAATGTTTGGTATGTGTTGATTGACCATAGAGATTTCACATATAGTTTTTAAATTATGAAAATTTGCGAATAATAAAAAAAAGCATTATAGAATTTATGAAAATGATATATTAACTTTGAAAACATTAAACGTCGTTCTTCATATTAACAAACATGTTATAAGAAACGTATGGTGTAAAAAAATAAAAAATCCTATTCACAAATAATTGATAGTGTAGGATTTGTATGTATCCCTCTATAACTGTGAACTCTCAATGCATACATGATCAAAGTTTTTAGAACAATAAACAAAGATTATTACTTCAATTTTTATGAAATTAAAACAGTAGTATTATTCTAACACAAAGGGAGTACCAAGCATTAGTGAAAAACTAGTACCTCACCCGTGCATTGCACGGGAATATATTAGCTATGTTATTTGAGATGAACATAAAAATATAAATTATTCTTTGTTTAACTTTAAAATGAATAATATCTATAAATATATTATAATTTAAGTATAGCCAATATATGATATCTTTCAAAGAAAAAAAAAAATCCGCAAACGTAAATATATTCCTTTTTATTTTCTAAATTTATTTAGTATTACACACAATAAAAGAATACAATTTTAAAGAATGAGTATTGGTTCATGCCCTACAGCAAGGTGAACATTTTGACTGCTGCCTCATATCTAGGATCCATTATTGAAGAATGTCTTTTGATGGGCACATTTCACGCATAGGGTGTGAGGCTTATTTCTCCTCTTACTAATACTCCTTGTTCTCTTTCCATGTGTGTTTCATCATCTTAACAATATATGGAGTATCTATTAGCAGACCTGGCATTGCATGTGACTATGCATACATTAACATCATTGATAGTACAGAAAGAAAGAGATTAGGCAAATTACCATTTTTGATCCTACACTACCATACATATGTATTAAATTTCAATATGTTTCACAATGCAAACACATCATGAGCACCTTTTAGGACAGACTTATAAATGATCATTTTGTGTATAAAATAAAGACCATCATTCCATTGTAAACTTTCACGCACCTTTTGTTCTTTGTAATTCAGTTTTAAAGATCATAAGGGGGAGTAAAGAAAGGGTAAATGATTGCGTGAGACAACATCGGTGTAAAAAAATGACCATCCACTTTAAATGTGAGTAGAGAAAAAAATAGGAAAAGAGTGCAATCACGTACCTTGTATTGTATATAGAAACATGGGTGTTTTGAAACTCAGTGGTGAATCAGAGTTGATTTCAGGGGCAGAGATCTTGCACAAATGACTACTACTGTTGGATTTATAATATGATCGTGTTCCTGTATGGCTCAAAGAGGAATGTAGGGATAGGAATAGAACAATGATTTAAATTTACCGGGTCTGTTATTAATGTTCATAGGGAGGTTCATAAAAAAACCAGGAGTATCATCACCACAAAAGCGGATCCATGTAGTAGTGATTACCCATTTCTCTTCAATGGTAAATGGTATTGAGTTTGTTAGTTCAGGAAATTAGGTTATACTATGAGCTTTTTCATTCTTTTTTTGTAGCCTTGGCCAAGATGAAAGAACAAATACTTAAAACTTTTAACCCGCAGCTAGGTCGTAAGCCAAATGCAAAGTGTAGAATACACCCGGGGCTCCAACTCAACCCTATGACCCAAAAGGCATTAGCAAATGCAAAGCATACACTATGAAAAAGAAATATCAATAATCATTGTCCAAAACCATGCTTTGACCTGACCAGACATCAAGAGCCAAAAAAACCATGTGAACCAAGTCTTGATGGGCAGCAAGCAAAGCATTACCTGCTCAGACACTAACAGTTCAAAAAACCATGTCAACCAAGTGAAGATGAGAACTTTTACAACGAAATAAAACATCATTTCAATTCAACCAAGTGCAGATGAGACCGACAACCCCACTATTTGCTGATACGGGAGCAAGCTGTTGTGTGTCTGGAAACTTGGGGTATTTCACTCAAGATTTGTTGGCAAAATTGGTAAAGTTGAAGAAGATTGAGCTCTAAATGCACCAAAGCTACTAAGTTTTCTAGTCCCCACCCTTTAAGTGGATAAAGCAAGATGACCCTTCATTTATGCTTCTTTGTGTAAAACATAGGTAAGTATGAGCTTGTTCTTTATTTTCAGTCAACTACGAAAAAGCTTCTTCATATCTAACTCAAGAAGGAAATAGAACCTTAATACACAAATAGGCATCAACCTGATAGCGGTCTTAGAAACAGCTATAAGAGAACACAAAAAATAATGTGCAGCATTACAGAGAAACGAAAGCAAGAAGCCATGTCTAATATCACACCTTTAGATATAAAGTAAGCAAAAATGTCTCTATTGTCTCTCTACCGATGAAGCATAAAGGACAATACTTGAGAGATGGGGCTTTAACCACATATAAATATAGAAATGCCCAAATTTAAAAAAAGGTACCCCAGCCTTAAATCTTATACAAAGCAACAGAGACAAAATCTAGCCCCATTAAGAATAGGGTATAATGAGTGTCATGCATTGTGCATTATTAACATGAATTTATATCATTCATTTCTTACAGTATGTATACCCAGATTAATTCATGCAAGGAGATTAATGTGTTACTTCAGTAAACAAATACGGAGTACATAGATTAGTATGTTTTTTTCTGTGGTGAATACATTGTCAAAGGCTGTTGTGCATATATGTAGTGTGTGATGTGTAATAAGGTAGGTTTTGTTTTGTTTTACATTAGAAAAACTAAATGTTAAGGATTATTAAGAATGGCAGCAACCTAAACTCATTTTGAGCAGCTCTGTTTTATAGGGGCCTGTTTTATAGGGGCCTGATATCATTTAGAAGAGACGTATAAATTATGCGCATTATTATACTCCGTACTAAATTGGCTGCACACAAGTTTTGAAAATAAATTTGTAGATGATCATGGAGTTCTTTCAAATATGTCACAGTTTTTTTTAAAGTTAAAGCATTTCATATCAATTTTCTTACAAATTCAGCATCTAAAACTCAAAAAACAGATCCTATTTTCTACAGAGTTGTGAAGAATTAATCAGCATAGGTCAGATTTTATCACATTTTTTTTAAAATGTGGAGGCCCAAAAGACCAAGAACCAATATCAAATTTTAACAACAATTTATGAAATGCTAATCAGATGAAACTTTAAAAGGGGACATTTACCTAGACCTTTAAAATGTGTAGACCCACAAGACCAAGAAGGACTCCGTAATATGATTTATCAAATTTAATACGATAAAATTCTTGATTTTAAAATTATTTAGTGTTGGATACTCTGATCTATCATTCTGGAAATCAAAATATCAAAAATACGAAATCTTTATTTGAAGGGAAAAAAAATTAATAAAAAAAGTAATACCTTAATACCTTGAGACCTGAGTCTTCTTCTCTGCGCCATGTTCGAATAAACATTCGGCCAACGTTGTTCACGCCCTCAGTCGTTGTCTTCAACTGGGCCTAGGGTTTAGGGCCCTAGTCTGGTGACGGTCGTTCCGATGTCCATCCATTCAATCGGTCACGATCATCAGTCATCACTGTTCGGGTGTTCGTGGAAGACGTGGATGAGGGGAGGAAAGACTGAAAATATGATGAGAACTTGTCATTGGGGGTGGATGCGTATCCCCAAATCAAACTGTGTCGTCGCCGGATTGCATGAGTCTCTCACCGAGACATGGGTCACCATTGCCGGACTTGCATGAGCCTCTTGCCGAGATATGGGTCGCCATCGCCGGACGTCTTATGCGAGATAGCGCGTGTCCCCGATATGCTTTCTAGTTTTCGGATTGGAAGTTTCAAACGGTGTCTGCAGTGGCGGACGTGAGAGTGGGTTTATTTCCAAAATATTTTACATTTTATGTAAAATCAAACAAAATTTCAATATTTTTAGTGTTCATCTTTGATAAAGAAATTAAAAATAAAACATATTTAAAAGTTAAAAGTTCTACAAAACAAGAAATAATGAAAATATTTAATTTTTTCAAATAATCAATCAAAATACCTAAATTTTAAATAAAGGCTACTCTGTTGAAAACTAAAGCAGTACTTTGAACCAAAAAAATATATACTCTATAAAAGTTACGGAGTACTACGTATCTAGTGAAAAATATGAGTGTATAAAAGTAAAATAAGTACTGTAGCTAGCATTTGAAAAAAAAATATTAGTGGGTGCACTTGACTCCACTTGGACCATTGTAGGTCCGCCCCTGGGTGTCTGTGATAGCCGTGTCCCCTCGGAATTTTTTAAAGAATGAAACTGCAAATGTCTTTTGTAAAGAATCTCAATCTAATTCTGACCGCAATTGGCATTCACAATTGACGGCTAGATTTCGCAATTGCAAATGAAATTGGACAGTAGGATTGGAGCGAGAAATTAGATCGAATTTTACTCAATTTTGATTCTGTTAATAGATACAGTATATAATAGATACTCCTTCGTCCTAATTCTTTTTTCCCAGTTTGACTTTTTTCCATTTTTAATTTTTGGCTTTGACTTCAAATTTTACCCTCCTTAAAAAAGATTTTTTGAAACTTTTTTTACAATCATTCAAAGTATAGAGTTAGAAGATAATTGGTGTAAATAAATGAGGATATTAATGTCAGTTGTCATCTTTTTTTCTAATGGGAAGGTAGTTTTAGGACGGAGAAAAAAAGGGAAAGTGAGAAGAAAGTTTTAGGACAGAGGGAGTAATAGAAATTAAAAATTGTAAAAAGATCAAAAAATATTAATAAGAATCTGTAAAAATATATGAAAAAATTAAGCATGAGCTAGAATAATACCAACGGTAGAAAAATCTGTAAAAATGTGATGAGGGATCCTTTTTTTTATTTTCGGAAAGAAAAAAGTCGATTAAACCAACGGTAGAGATAGTTCCACACCCAAATCCATCACGTTCCCGGTTCCTACTCAACTTCTCGCGGCCCCTAAGAAAATAATACCCCGTCGTCATATAAACGAATTTCTTTTCGGAATTCCCTTCGCGGTTGTCAGATTCAGAGTTCGACCACGCTGAGCCTCTGCAAATCTCCATCTCAGTCGATCTCGTCGCCCTGAGGAAAAAATGAGTACCGGACCTGGTCTCTTCTCCGGTATTGGCAGGAAGGCCAAAGGTAATTCCATCGCAGATCCTGCTGTAGTTTTCGCCGTTAACGATCGTGTACGCTTTGTGTGTGAATTCATAGATTCCGAAATTTGACTCTGATTCTCATCGTTTACGAAACATATAGATCTGCTAACGAAGGATTTCATCTCGGATCAGAAGATATCTGTGTCGACCTACAGTGAGAGCGGAGTGGTACGATTTCATTGAATTCCGTTACTTTAATCGTTTTGAATCGTGTATTTTATGGCGATGCCTTTTTTCGCTTTCTGAATTTGGTGACTTGCTATTTAGGCTTTTATTACAGTTTAACAGCCTGTGGTCTGGGATTGTTGGATGCATGTTTCAGTTTGGAATTGCACTTTGAAAATAGGGATTTAGTCTACTGTATGTACCTCTTTCTCCACTGTTAGGCTTTACACTTGATAAATGTCAAAGTCATTGTGTTGTCCTTGTGCATTTGAATTTATGAATTGGCTTCTCACAATGGCACTTTTCTCTGTTGATTTATGCGATGAAGGTGGAGTAAATAAATGTAATACTTGAGCAACATTTGCATACACTGGCTATGGTCTTGTATACTTCTATTTGATTTGCTAACTTGACAATAAATTATTGTAGGGATAAAAAGTTTGAATCCATTTCTAAATTTGTCTAGTCAGTAGTCTTTTAGAGTCTTCGTTACATCATCGTATGGTACTATGGTCCAATTTATATCTCCACATGTATGTATCATTGGAGCCACCACCTCTAGAGTCCACATTTTCCCACAAGGCCACAAGAACAAAGATGTGTTCCTTTAAGGTCTGGCGATTCTGTTGACTTGAAATCTAACATTTGTTGTTCCAAAACTGTTTAGGGAACCATTTGGAGCTACTGTGGTTCAAACAATTAGTGAAGCTCATAATTTTTAATTTCATATTTCCCTTCCTCTAACAATTTTTTTATTCAAGTCACACATAGCTCCATGTACACAAATATCATTATCAGGCCCATAATTGCTGTAAAATAATATCCATTTATGTTTGTGAAGTATTGTTAGCAGTTCACAGAAGGATGACAGGATGCACAGTGACAATACAACTACATTAGTTTATGAATAGGGATATGAGAAGTAATAAAAATGCTCATGTTCTTAGCAGCGTTTCATAACTCCATAAGGGTTGATGGGCAACAACTACAACACATGAGTTACTTGAAACTTGAAAGTACAGCTTAGGCAAATTGGAAATTCAAAGATCAAATTTCTAGTTTGATATAACTAAAAGATCAAAGTTTCTATTTCCTCTTAATAATAACTGGGAGAACACCTAATAGGTAGTCAAAATGGAACGACTTTTTTTGTTTGAATCTTTTTCTCTTCATTTGATAACCAATGAATGGTCATGCCTATCAAGGCATTGCCAGATGGGGACTTGGCGCCGACTTGACGCATATCAGATGACTATGTCAAACCAGAAGTTATTTTTCTTTGAAAAACGAATACAACCCACATTGTGTACGCAAGCGAAACACAAAAAAAGTTTGGGAGTTAGATCTGAATCGGTCTTACCTCTTCTCTACCAATTGGGATTATGGAGATTTGAGTAGATCCGAATATGACTCATGCTGCTGAGGATTGCAGAGCATTATTTACATGATGTGCGTGTGTGTATTTTAACTGTATAGTTGAATTATATGATCAAAGTTTACAAATTTTGAATATACAAAGTAATCTTTTTTGAAACCCATGGAGTATAATTCTAATTTATGACTTGTCTTCTAGGTGGTCGGTTAGTTGACTATGCCCCCTGGTAGTACATTGGCGCCATGCCTCACTTTGGTGTCTTGATAACTATGTGAATGGTGTAGCTTCTCATACATTTCACACTCTTATTGTTTGGTGTAGGCCCTAACATCCACTGCTGTAAAGAAAGGAGCTCTGTCGACTGGAGATGTGGCAGCACAATACAAATATAACAACACTACATTTGACGTCAAAGTTGATACAGAGTCAAATGTGGGTAATTAAGATGTTGTATCATACCAGCATGAGACTTGGTTTTCCAAAATATTGACAATAAATCTCGCTATCATTTGTTGCAGATCTTAACAACTCTGACAATCACCAACATTGTCCCATCAACAAAGGCCATTGCTTCTATAAAATTTCCTGACTATAATTCTGGCAAGGTAAAAAGCCCATATCTCATATACTGCTGTCCAATCAAGAAAAGGCATGTTTCAAAATCCAAACACCTCCCCCCCTCCCCCCTTCCTAAAAAAAACTAGTTTGTTCCCATGAAGATAATGTTTCATTTAATATACTTACCAGTTGATAAAAAATGAGATATAGATAAATTTCATGTGATAAATATGGAGCCTGTTTGGTAAAAATATTTGGTCAATATGGCGGAGTTTATTGAATACTCATTATCGAAGAGCATTTGGTAAAATCCATTTCAGCCTAATAAGTCAAAGGGTATACGTTTTGCTTCTAAAACCAACAACAACAAAATCCATTGTAATCCCACAAAACTAAGGTCTGGGTTTGCTCATAACTCATAAGAAGCCATAAACAGAAAATGCTCGGTTTTATTACCAAACAGCTAACGAGTTAAACCAACAATAAATTTTAAAATTTTTGTAAGATTCATAATTTATGATAATTGTACATCCCCAAAATTTAATGGTTTTACATTTGTTAAAAACATGATTTTTATGGTTGTATAAAAACATGTTTTTTTTGTTAAAAACGTGGTTAGTTGCCCAGTATACTTCTTAATACTCACCTTTTTCTGTGGTTTTGTGGGATGCATGTAGCTGGAGTTGGAGTATTTCCACCACCATGCGACCCTCACAGCAGCTGTTTCTGCACCAAATCAGTCCCCCAATGTTGATCTTTCCATGACACTTGGCACCCCAACATTTGCTGTTGGTGCTGAAACGAGCTATGAAACTGCTTCTGGCAAACTAACCAAGTACAATGCTGGTATCTGTGTAACAAGACCTGATTCTTGTGCTGCAATAATCTTGTGAGTCAATGACTGCTAATCCATTGGTTATGCCCAACGATGAAAATATCCCAATATTTTCCAAAATTTCCTTAATCATCAATATTGGGGGAATATTCCAGATCAATATTTGGGTGACACAATGATATGGAGGGAGTATCAGAGAAATTTTGGAAAATGACAAGAAATATTAAAATGTCATGAAAAATATCAGGATGTATAAAAAATATGAAGTGAATATTGATATTTTCATCATCTTTTCTCTTCTCAAAAAGTTGCAAAATGCAATTCTTTGTCCCCAAAAAATAGAAAAAGATTCGCTGATATCTAAATGCCAAGCGGTTTTGCATAAGAACTGATGGTGTATTACCACATTTATTCTTGGTTGTTCCCATGAAGCTCAAAGCTTGTTTTCTCATACGTTTTTGCTCTTTCCTTCTGGCACAGGGGAGACAAGGGGGATACAATAAAGGCGTCTTATACTCACCATCTGGATGAGTCAAAGAGGACTGCCGCGGTAGGAGAGATCATCAGAAGATTTTCCACCAATGAGAACACATTCACAGTTGGGGGGTCATGTGCCATTGATGAGCTGACTAATGTGAAGGTGAAGCTCAACAATCATGGAAAACTAGGCGCTCTCTTGCAGCACGAAGTGATACCGAAATCGATTTTGAGCATCTCAAGTGAGTTCGACACCAAGGCCCTGGAGAAGACTCCCAGGTTTGGTGTTGCCCTCGCTCTCAAGCCGTGATGATATTCTTTTGACACCACAGAGCCTTATCAATCATTGATTGGCCAGTTTTTTTCATCTTTGATAACATTGAAGAAGAGCAGAATAAGGCCTGCAAATACTTTGCAACAGACTTTTGGGATGTGCATTCCATTGTCTTTCTGAGACTCTATTTGAGTTTTAATGTTTCCCCCTTTTTTAGAGAACAGTATTTGATAACAATCTATTCATTGATACGTTCTCTTAGCATCCCTTTTCTTGAAGCACATGAGCTCTGAAGGCAATTCAGTAGCCGATAACCGTTTTATTACTCCCACTATTCCAAATTAAGTTGTCTGTTTACTATTTACGAGTTCAACATTCAGAAATTCAGTACTAATTAACCCTTGTTGTCGATTCAATGTGACAAACAAGAAACTTGCACCCATTTCCTTCCAGCTGAAATATTGTACAAAAAAATCTCATAACCCTTAAACATTGATTATTTCAAGGTAATTAATGTTTTTTTCTTCATAACCTAAGACATGCCACTAGCATTTTTTTCCTAATATAGCCATTCAATCATTTCCAATCAGTAAAACAATTTTTGTGGGTAATATTCCCACTCCATTCAGAGTGGCTACGCCAACACAACTGAAATAAAGTATGAACTTTTCTTTATTTATTTATCACGAAGTAGGGACTTGTAGTATTACAAAAAGGTTTTGCAAGTCCAGTTTAATGTACAACCAGCAATGCACCAAGTACAAGGGTCATTCACACAATTAAGCCAATGCGCTACGTACTATACCAAAGCAAACACCACTTCTATCAGGCTGCAACCTCTTCATGTAATATTTTGAGAGGTTAATTCGTTTTCTTCTCTCCGCCGGTATCTTATCAATGGAACATTCTGAAAAGCCGCGCCTTATAAACCTGTCGAGGAAAACCGTACAATGAATGAATTAATGTTAATCGTACACCGGTACACGCACAGAATACTTATATTTGACAATGTTATAGCCTCGAGTAATAAATGAACTAAATCAAAATGACACGTAAAACTTCTCTGAAGTTTCGGATAGTAAGTGAACCGACTTTTTTATGGGCTTTTGTCTTTTGTTGTTGTTGTTTGCACTCAAACCACATATTATACATACAAACATTTTCGACAGCCACTTATTTTCCAGCAACCAAACAGAGCTTAAGAGAAGAAGAAAATCCATTGTGTATGAAGCCATACCAGTCTGCACTGCGAGTTGTGAAGAGAAAAAGCATTTGTATCCCAAGGGTAGATGCCTTCCTTTCAATGTAATCTGCACATATACATATATGCATTTCATACATGGTCTATATAATTACAGTAACCAAATGATCAGTACTCCCTCTCTACCAAATTAATCTTCCTGTTTTCCTTTTCGGGACGTCCCAAAAAAAAACTTCATGTTTCCTATTTTTGGAAAGTTTTTTGTGGCTCCCAATCTTTCTCTCCCATTTGCATCACTTTCAACCGCCCAATTTCACTTTTCTCAAAGTTTGTGCCAAACCCAATCAAGAAAATTAATTTAGGACGGAGGGAGTATACAAGAATACGAATAAATCATCTCACTGTCAATTGATTTTGGGATGAATTGAAATCTAAAAATTCTATACTAACTTAACATTAAATTACTCCTTCCATACCAAGTAATTTGTCTCCTTGTCCTTGGCAACGACAATCGGGAGAAACAACAAGAGAAGCAACCTCCGCGCATTTGTCTTTCAAGAAGGGAAAGAGAGCACCACAAGCTATGATTTGACCCTCTCTTTCCACGACGATGAAGGAACCCAATGCCTCACGAAGCTGGAACTCGAAGGTCATTGCGTAATTTAAAAGAGATTATATGAGAAAAGATGAAGTGAACCAAATTCAAATGGCAACTAAAAAAAAGGTAAGAATTTTACAATCAGCCTTGACTTACATCCTCCTCTGTCCTCGCGGCCAATTCCCCATCCTCTTCTAAAGTTTGCAATAGTTTTTCTATCCCAGGAACATCTGTTTCCTTTGCCATTCGAGTTCCTTGATAAAGATCACTGCCAGAAACGTGAAATGTGTAAGTATGTAACTAGCTAGCCAAAGGAAACAAGATTCATCTAATGACTCCATACCTAGCCACCATTGTACCAATCCCATCCCTTTGAAACAATTCCTTCAATAAAACCCCACCAATGGTCCCATCTAAGAGATGAACTCTTTGAACACCTCCCTGTAGAGAAAATACATAGATAACAAGATCATCAAGGTCAGGATGCACTCTGATAGAATTAGAAGAATATTTGGGAAATATTTTTTTTGAATCCATCATATGAACAAAGTCACGCGATATATATATATAGGTTCGCACTCTACAAACAAAAGCTGCTGCGGCTAACTCTGAAAGGTAACCATACAATCGACTTAGCCTCTCTTGTCCACCGATTGCAAAACCTTTTTCCCCACACAAAAGTCCGTTCCCGTTGTCAAAGCCAACCCCATTCTGGAATGATCCATTCCCATATAGGGAAAACACTGATCGATCTGAAGGTTCATAGTCCAATAGGCCTTCATGACCGACTGCTTTCACATAAGTTGCTGCAGTTTCACTTTGATAAGCTCTTCTGCGCACCAGCAAGTCTGCATCCTCAAGGGTTAAGAAACGAATGAGACGACCGGATTCATCTAATATCGGACCGTCCATAATGCAAATAAGTTTCTCTGCACCAAGGGCCAATGCGCAGGCTGTAGCAACTTCATATGTGCTGCAATACCAAACAAAATTAGGTTCTTAATATAATGTTAAGGAACCAACTCAACCAAAAGCGCAAGCTTGGGGTTGAAGGTTGAAATAGTGTTTTTATACTCCAATGGGCAACAAAGATTCATATTTAAGGCCTATAGCCATAATGCATACTTGCAATTTAAAACTTGGCCAGAACTCGAATAACCAACATTGCTGATTAACACAATGGAGTCTTGATCAAGCCTCTCGCGTATTCGAGAAACATCAATCTTCTTCACTTCACCGGTTGATCCGTAATCAATTCCCTCAACAACTCCCCTTCTCTGCGAAAGAGTATATCGAAAAGGTTTTAGCCTGAAAGTCATTATCCAATCAACCCCATGAATCAATTTATCTAGGGAGAAGTACTTTACTATGATTAAAAAATGTATCTTTACCAAAATAGGACTTTCAATGTTTTTATACCAAAATAGGACTTATAATGCCATAGAGTGTCAATATATAACGACATGAAACGCCAACATGTAAAGCCAAGATGTGGTATCGCGCAGTGTGAAAGCTCATATTTAGCACATAAAACACACGATGTCATATTTTGGTAGAAGTTTAATGTTTTAGTCTTATTTAGGTAAATTTTGTACTAATCAATGGTATGCACTTATAAACAGACTCAAAAGATGCAACGAAATGCATAAGGTAAAAGTAAAGTTTCATACCTTAGCAGCTAAGAAGTTACCACTGGCAACACTGACACTGTCATGCCAGCGACTATTGTCTCCGTGTCGGCGGATGCCAGTGAGGGAAGGTCCAGGGGACAACTTTGTCTCTAAAAGCATTCGAATTCTTCCAGCGGCATCCACTGCCGCCTCTAGGGAATCAGGGTCTGTGATTCTGTAGCGACCTACATACTCTGGTTCCCTTCCTGCTATGACAAATAAGCTATTAAAAAAACACTTCACATTACAAAAAAGGATGAACCGCATCCCTAAGGATCCCTCAGAACCGGCCAGACGGTGACGTGAGATGAGGTAAATTGGGCTTTTAGCGCAGATGGTGTCAAATGGTGGAGGCTGCACCGCTCTATCCTTATCATAGTTGCCTCCTAGCGCAATTGCCAAGAATCAAAAGCAAGTATTACCTGGATACCACTTGTCTGGCCAACTGTGCAACGCCCACGGCAAAACACTTCATAGTACAAGTTTAAGAGCAGGAACAACACTAAAAGCTTGTTCTCTTCGTCTGATCTAATTTTATTAAATATATGGACTTTGTATTACCTATTTTCCCTTTCTTTTGTAGGGAGTACTAAAAATGTGCTTAGTTTTTAAAAACTAAAACCTACTGGGAGAATTTTATTCGCCAGCAGGGTGAATAAACCTCAAATCAGTAGGAAGAAACCTCCGATGCATAATGCATATGAACTATGGGTGAAGAAAGTGCATGAAGAGAGAATGAAACTCACCACGCTGAGACAAAAGCCTATCAATCTGCACATGCGTCCCTGGCACAAGAACAAATTTGACACCCAATCCATGAAGAAGAGATATATCCTGTGAACGCATCCATCTTTAATCCGTGTGAAATTAAATCAATAATTCTTTTAATAAAAAGAGTAGTTTCATAAATAGTAGCCAATTATATGTTCTTTTTCATATTTGTTCCCAATTATTAAATATTTTATACTCCCTCCGTCCCAATTTATTTGCAACACTTTGAACGACGTGCAAAATATCATCTCTTTTAAAATCACTTTAATTTTAAATTGGTAGAGTAATAAAAATTAAAAATTATATCATTCAAAAGTATATGAAAAGTTCTACAAAACAAGATGCGACAAGAATATTTTATTTTATCAAATGGTCAACCAAAACGAGTAAACAAACAAAAGTTATCGAGAGGCCAGAATAGTAACCGTGACATTCTTTCCGGGACGGAGGAAGTAAATAGTCTTCAATTATTGAAAATTATTCACAAATACTACCTCCGTCCTAACAATTATTTTTTCATCAAATATAACAATTATTTTGAGTAATTCTCAAAATGGTCCTTTCTAATAAAAGTTTTTTCAAAGTAATCTTCAATAAACAAAAATTACTAATGTGATCCTTTATACGTAGTAATTGAGATTTGTTTCGTAAATAGTTCTTTATCAAAAATGCACTTTAAGTGACACTTAAATAGAAGGTTTTTTAATGCACTTTATTATCTAAACTATCATTAAGTCCTCAAAATATTTTTTTTAATTAAGTGGAAGGCTACTAATAAACAATAATTACTAGTATGGTTCTTTATAATTTAGATTTATTCTCTAAATAATCATTTGCCTAAAATGTCTATTAAATGTCAGTTAATTAGAAGCTATTTTAATATTTTCTATCATTTAGGTTTAAAGTATGTTCTCTAAATGCTCCTATAATTAAGTATTTTTTCAAACTAATAAGTTTTAAGTAAACATTTTTTGAAATTGAGTAGGACATGAACCAACTCAGGGTGGGTCCCTTCTTCTAGTAGCCTCCCACTTCATTTAAAAATAATCATTTTGAAGACTTATTCATAGTTTAAATAATAAAGAGAATCAAAATACATTTTATTTAATTATCATTTAATAGATATTTTTGATAAAAGACTATTTGGGATACATATCTCAATTATAAAGAATCGCGTTAGTAATTCTTGCTTATTGTGGATTTCTTTGAGAAAAAAACTTTATTAGAAAGGTCCATTTTGAGAGTTTACTCAAAATATTTTCTCATATTTGGTGAAAAGGACTATTTCTAAAATAATTTTCAAAAATTAATAAGGATGATTTATGGAATATCTTATAATTGGGGACTAAATATGAAAAACTCTATATTATTGAGGACCATTTATGGAATTTACTCTAATAAAAATTTGTTTCATATGGAGTATTAATAATCAAATTGGTATTGAAAAAAATAAAAAAATACAAATTCAGATGTTTTGTTATTCAACTCAAAATAAAAATTACCCCGGAGTACATATTTATATCTCAAAAATAGAAGTTTGTACTGTAATATTATGGTGACCTATTGATGACCAAGTAATTGGTAAATAGATTGTTAGTGAAAATATCGTACAAGTTCAAGTATTTATTTGAAAGATTTCAAACTTTAGGTACTAAATCGAGATTTTTGTAAAAGTTCAGATATCATTTTTGAAATTTACCTATTAAACATGATGTCTAATTGGTGGAATTTCTACTATAGATTTAAAGTCCTTAGTATAATATTTAAACTTTTTTACAGAAGCAAAATGGTAAAAATTACGGAGTAAAATAAAAAAAATGTTCTTTACAAAGGTACCCCAACTTTAAGTTTGTACTTGACATCTATAAGGTCAAATTTTAATTTTTAAAAAATTATGTTTTATTTATACAATATCATTTTTTTCTTTTTTTGTTTTAACTCTATGCTTTCTAGAAGTTTTTTAAAAATTTTAGTATTTTGAATTTTTTTTATAACTTAAAAATATTTTAAACCAAACTAGCATTCACTTTCTAAAATAATTGTGGATATTATAATTTAAAGGGAAAAGTTTCTTATTTATTTCAACTTCAAAATATTTATAATTTTTTGGAGTTAGAGTTTAAATAGATAAATAAACACGATGTTGCATGAAAGTCTCCTTAAAAAAATACTTAATTGACTTATAAAAACTCATTACACGTATCAATAATTCTGAATAACGATGATGATGATAGTTGTAAAAGTAGTAGTAATAATAATAATAATAATAATAATAATAATAATAATAATAATAATAATAATAATAATAATAATAATAATAATAATAACAACAACAACAACAACACACATTCTTTAAATTTTAAAATTTAAAAAATTCGAAATAAATGTTTAAAATTAAATTATAGACAATTATTAAAATGATATCGCTACTTAAGTTTAAAATATGAAGTATATTGTAAATTATAAAATTTTTCAAAAATCTAAACTTAAAAAAATTATAGAAAGAACAAGTTAAAATAAAATTAGAATATACTCTGTAAAATATACTTTCATTAGATTAAAATTGAATTATATAAATATTTAAAAAAGATCAACTTTATATGTGTCAAGTATAAAGTTAATCAAGTATTAGATAAACTACAAATTAGTTTGGAAGTCATATGGAATACCACTTGTACATTAGGAAGCTAAGTAGAACGGCACATGTGTACACACCGGCCGGATTATCAACATTCTGGCAAGAGTTTTCCTTTGTTGCATTTTTTAAAGTTGGCATACATTTTTGTTATAGTAACTCAAAGATAAAGTAACTTTTTGTTACAAAATTCAAAGTTGGAGTACCTCTCAAATAACAAAACTATAAAAATATTTAAGGAAATCCCCCTATATAGGAGTAAAACATTGAAAATTATCAAAATAAGAGTTCCATTTTTTTATTCTCTATATAAGAGTTCGCATTGTGATAACGCGACACTGTACATGAGCATTTTACTATTCTTTTTGGTAATATATATGATCATGATTGATAATGTAAATGCATTTTAACTTCTATTTTAATAATAAAAAATGCAACTCCTATTTAGTATTCCCTTCGTCCCGGAGTATTCGTCCCATTTTGACTTTTGGAACTGTTCATCTAAACACTTTGACTCATCAAATTCTCTCAATGTGTAAGCCTAAATATAGTCATGTGTGATCTTGTTTGATTTGTCTTAACATATGGATTATTACGTAATATATAATTTCTATAATTTTTTAATATACAAATTACAAGATAAAATGAATTAAAGAAGTGTATTAGATGATGTGTAAAAATGAAAGTGGACAAATACTCTAGAACGGAGGTAGTATATTTTTAATATTTTATTCTTACTTTAGTCTTTTTTCCAAATACTCAAATTTTCGACAAAAAAGTGTAAATTCACCAATTTACAAAGTTTGGTCACAACATTCTACAAGCTATAATTCAATGGTGAATAAAAAACAATAATTCGAAGGAAAAGAGTCGGTACAAAGAGAACAAGTGGAATTGCCAAAAGCCCAAAACATAGCACTAAGACAAAAGAGTGACAGTTGCGTTGATTGGACTTAAACGGTGGAGAATAACAAAATGAGGTATGGACTATTTGGAACTTCTATTTCGCCTACCGTGTTGTTTGACAACCATTTCTGAGTAGGTAAGGAACTATGGAAGTTTCTACCCGATCTCAGGGATAACCGATATATTCGACCAGATTTAATGGATAAAAATATGAAGGAAAAAATATGATGGATTGACTAACGATGAATCGGGTCCAATGCAGATAAAGATTTTTCTCATCCGTTACTCGATAATATTAGTTTTATTTTATTGAGTACATAAATTTGTTCTATTTTAATTTTTGATGTACTCCAATTCACTTTATAAAAACCTTTATTTGCATATTACTATGTAGAAAATTGTTTCTTTGTAGGATTCCACCACAAATATCATTAATCTCTTATTTTTTTTAACGATTTTTTCTATGTTATATGCTTCATACGTTGTTCATTTCCTAAAAATAATGATTGAAATTTTTTTACCTATATTACTCATGGGGAAAGATCGGATCGTGGGTGAGGCATATAAAAGATGATTGATAGATTAAGTGATGGATATAGGGTTAATGGATGAATGTGGATGAAATTTCACTATATCAAAACTTCACCCATTACTATCACATTTACAACAATGCTTTCTATGTACAACAACAACAACAGCCAGTTAAATCCCACAAGAGTAGGGTCTGTGGAGGGTGTGTGTACGCAGACCTTGCCCCTACTCGAAAGTAGAAAGGCTGTTTCCAAAGAGACCCCCGGCTCAACGTTGAAAGTTGCATTGCTTGACTAACTGATACTTCATTAATTAAAGAAGCGCAAATAGTTTAGATATCCATTTTGATTTATTCCATCACATCCAAAGCCAAAAACAGGTGAAATTTTGGCTCCATCGGAGATGATGGAAAAAACAATGCTTTCTATGTGTACTCCAAAATACTTGGTAGAAACTACTCTGTATATGTATATTAACCATAAATGAGCTACCCTCTGAGTTTGTAGATTTTGACTAAGATATGCAAAAAAAAAATAGAATGTATTTCGATATAAATGTAATATAAATAATTTATTTTAAACATAAATTTGGAATACTAAGTTTTTGTAAAATATATCTATATGTAACTAGAAGATTTATATTGGAAAGAATAATGAAAAGTCAAATGAGAAGATTTTTGTCGGACAGAGGGAGTAATAGTTATACTCACGCTAATAAAAATAGAGTAATTGTTCTCTAACTAGCACTAAATGCATGTATTTTGGTCATCAATTAAATAAATATAAACAACAGCGGAGTCATAAATCGGAAAAGCCTACGAGCAAACAAGCAATGAAATAATTAATGATATTTTTAGAGCAAATTCTATAATTGGTCCTTTATAACATGAGGAATTAATGATTTCTTTAGAATAAATTCTATAAGTGATCCTTCTTTTATAGGTATCTTCCCACAAATAATCCTTTTTAATATTCTACCATACTTGTGTTAATTTGGGGCTAAAAGTGTAATTTCACAATGATAATAATATATTTTTTTTGTCATACATAATTCTAAAGGCCGTTCCTTTTGCGTCCTTTGTGAATTACAGTCGCTTTCTACTATAACCATAGTTTACAAATGTCGTCTTTCGTCGGAATCCTAGCCCACAATCATAGTCATTATTTTCGTGTTATCCGTCTAACCATGCCAATATCAGAATACGTCATTAGACATAAGATTGATGTCAAATTATACTTTTAGCATTTAAATTAACACCAACATGACACAATATAAAAAAAGACCATTTGTGAAAAGGCACTTATAAAAGAAGGACTACTGGGATAATATTTAATAATAGAGGACTAAATATAAAAACTCCTCTTATAAAAGACCAATTATGAAATAACTCTTTTTTTAATACTCCATTTAAATTTACGTTCTCTTGTGAATTTTACTTTTAAATTACTTATATTCTAGTAATTTCAATTATTACACATTTAAATTTTATTATTTTAAAGTTAAATATTTCATTTGTCAACATGAAATTTTCTTTTTTATTGGGGGCAAATATTTTTTACCTTTTAGGGTAATATAAACTTTTAATGGCGAAAAGAATTTCATTTTTTTACTTTTAGGATAATTTAAGGATATTAATTGAATGAATTAAAAGTTTTGATTGGGGACAAGTTCCCCCATTGTTAAAGAAGTGGCTATGCCACTCAATATATATTGCATCTTTTTATATACAATGGTAAGATGAGTTTAGGAACAGTATTCCCGCCCATTTCATCAGCTACAGTAGCCGCTAGATTTAGACCGCACATTCGGATAGAAAAATCCGGGGAAGCTTCTTGCATACTCTTTTAGATGTACGGATAGATAGCGTATACTGGACAGCAGATCACTCCCGTGATAAGAGAAAGAGTATGGGAGAAGCTAAGCCGCTGGGTTTTTCCGTCAGATCCATCTGATAAAAGAGACTTCCTGCGTACACATCTAGAGAGAGAGAGAGAGTATGGAGAAAGCTTTCTGTCAGATCCACCTGTTCTTGCTTCTCTTTCTCCGCAGCAGCTTCACCGTCTCTGACCAGACAACCGGTAAGCCATGCGCTGTCTCACTTCTCAAGCTGGAGGTCGATGATCACCGTCAAATTCAATTTGCACATCGCCGTAGCGGTAGAGAGCACACCGCCGCGGGTAAGTAGCCAGGCTTCTGATTGATTTTTTTCTTTCTAATTTTGAAGTTCCGACGTTAATGGTTTTACCATTATCCATCTAATTGTAATTAGCAATTCTTTTTTTCATCTTCCAGGTGCAGATCTGACACCCATTACAATTGAATGCCCTAATTAGAAGATGGTGGGTGAAGTTTACAGAAGATGGGGAATATTCATGGTGGCTTTCAAATTTATTCCTTTGGACAAAGGTTTTCAGCTCCCTTTTCTTCTCTATTTTCACCCTTAAATTTTATATTTTTCAATTTTGTTCAATACTTGAAATCAAATGAAGTTAATTTATTATAGATTTATATATTAATGTAATGTGTCTATTATAATTCCAAAACCTAATATATTGATGGAAAGTCCAACTGCTTTGGGTTTGTTAATTTTGAGAATACTGATGCTGTTGCTAAAGCTATTGAAGCTATAAGTGAAAAGAATTTGATGATAAAGAGTAGTATGTTGGGAAAGCTCAGACAAAATCTAAAAGAAAGCAAGAGCTGAAAAGTAAGTTTGATTAGAGTATAAAGGGAACTGTGTATAAACATCAAGGATTAAATTTATATGTCAAGAATGTTGATGATAGTATTGATGATGACAAGCTAAGGGAATTGTTTGTAGGGTTTGGTATAATAAGATCTTGCAACATATATTCCAATCAACAATAAGTTCTGCTAAGATACTTTTGTGTTACTCGAATCTTGACATAACATTTCAGTATTTGTTCCTGAGTTTGAGTTATGCATAATTCAAGTGGAATTAGCAAAGGGTCTATATTTGTATTATTCTCAACTCCTTTATAAGCGTCTAGAGCTGTATGTTACTATTATTTTTTATATAATACTAATTGACTCTCTTTGTTTAGCTATTCTTCATCATAGAGAGTAGGATCTGATCCATGCATTTCGATTATTATAGCTTTTTGATTTGAATGGGAAAGTGGTGGTGTCCAAACTACTCTATGTTGCTCTTGCTTAACGAAAAGAGGAGAGGCAAGCAAGATTGCAGGTAAGATTATTTTTTAAAAAAAAATTCATGTGTAAACAATTTGTGATACCTGTTCTTCACCATATATTTTTAGAAAATGACTGTTTGGACATTTGTACTTTTCAGCAAAAATATGCACCTGTAGTTGGTGAAAACTTCCTTCATGGTCCCCAAAATCAGCAGACTTTGCAATATATCTCCTCTCAGATTCATAATGGGATAAGGTTGGATCCTAATGAACAAAAGAATGGGTTTCGGGTATTCTCTTTGAAATAAAGAACCTGAAAATTTTCAGTTTTTGTAGGATTTTTGGATCCTGTTGCTACCTATGTTCTATGTACCATTTTTTAAATACCCTTTGTGACTTATATGTAGGTGAATGCTGTAAACTCTTCATCAGGGATCGAATCCCAAGGATTGATGATAGGGGAAATTACTTCTCCTGCTGAGTATTCACCTTTGAACATTCTAGAGCAGGCGAGCAACTCAAATGAGAAGGTAACAAACTCCAGTGCTAATACTACTTTACCCGAATCCATGATTTCTATGGGCCAGAAAAATGCATATCCTGTTAACCATGCTGAACCTATTCTATCTTTCTATATATAATGCAGCTATAGTTGCTTAATATGTAGCAAAAATATGCAGCTGTAGTTGCTTATTTGGAGTGATAGATCTATCAAAATCGTTGCACCAATGCTCTTTCCATCGCTCCTCCATGGCTTCTTAGTCAGTTTTTGTGCTCGGTAAGCTTCTCATTTCTCATCGGCTTCTTCATAGCATTTCATTCTGCCTGGGTTTTTTTTATTTTATTACCACTTCGTTCTCAAGTGATTTTTGGTAATTTTGTTCTTATAAGTGAAAGGGTACTTATCCTATTGAGTTTAGGAATTTATTTTTGTAATAGTGATGCAGAGCAAATCAGTAAAACCACTAAAAATGGTATTTTTGTTCTTACAAGTGAAAGGATACTTATCCTATTGATAGAAACTACATGGTATTTTTGCTCTTAGAGGTGAAAGGGTACTTACACACAGCTATAAGTTCCTTGACCAATCTGCGAGAACAAAAACTACCATCTCACAACCATTAGAGAGATGATTTCATACGAAACCAATCATTTAGCCAAAATAATGTTTTTTTGCTTATAATCAACAATAACATTATCCACTCATTCTTTTTTGTTAAGGTTAGTCCACAATTTTCCCATTTACATACTTTTTATACATGTTTAGAGTTTTGTTTGTTTGTATGTTTCAACCTTTTAAATGTCAGAAAATATAACCTCTTCAGGGCAATGAAGGTGCCCTTCAAATTCTTTCAAAGGATAATGAACTTTTGAAGGAGTGATGATAAGTGTGTTTTTTTTGTTTTATCAACATTTTTTTAGATGCTTTGAATTTGGATGTTGATCATTTTTCGAGTGCTTTGGCTAAAGGCTATGTGTTGGACATTGACGTGGTCAGGAAGGGCCACAAGAAAATCTACACAGATGGTCGAGACCAAATTTTGGCAAATTCAAATCGGTGAGATGAAGAAGCGGAGTAAATGTTAGACCTTATGGGGCATAGGGGCAACAAGGTAGTTTTCTTCATGTACTACACTAGAATTTGAATAAATGTTAGACCTTTGTCATTGTACTTATAATCAAGTTTTCTTTATGTACTACACTAGAAGTTGAATAAAAGTTTGAAAATTTTTTTATGCATTGAATTGGTTCTACATTATTGATATATTGTATCTAGATTATACCTCTGTGCATGTCTACATATGATGAATAACTTCATACTTCCACCGTCCCAGAGTATTTGTCCACTTTCATTTTTACACACCATCCAATGCACTTCTTTTATCCATTTTATCTTATAATTTGTATATTAAAAAATTATAGAAATTATATATTAATAACCTATAGTTCGTAATCATTATTTTTATTTTCATAAATCTTTTATATGTAGTAATAACATTTTTACATAAATTTATTATTAAATTTTTGGCCGTGCATCGCACAGGTACGAATCTAGTTTATATCAATAAAAAATAATTTTTTCAAATTTATTTTGTAAATGTTTCTAAAAATACTACGGAGTATATGTGCTCTAAAATGGATATCACGTCTCAAAAAAGGTGTAAAATCTCACCAATTTTAAAATTAATTTAATTAAAATTGGTATCAAAATAAAAAAAAGTACGTACAAATTGCACTCTCCAAAAATATAATTTATCAAAAATTCTACTCGATACAAAACAAGGGAACAATAAAAATATTTTGTTTTATTAATCCCATCCATGTATACATACAAGCAAAAAAAAATCAACTTATTTTGTTTACTACGTATTAATTAGTGTAATAAAAAACATTCAATATAGTGAAATAAACAAAACAAAAAAAAGAGTAAAAAAGACAAATAATAGAACGATGATGATCACTGGTACTATTACTTACTTGGAGTAAAGAGGAAAGGTGATGATGACTGTCGACGATCTCCGCCGACAGAACAACCACAAAAGTACTTCCCCGGTGCGCCGCAATGTACGGCTCCGCCTCCCTCATCGCCCTCACAAACAGCTCCTCCTCCGCTTCTTCATCAACAGCTGATATCTGTTCCGGCGCCGTGCCACCGCCGCCGCTCCCCCTGATTTTGTCACGACGACAGAGCCTCAACTTCAACAAGAGAGATCCCGCCCTCCGGCCAGTTCTCGTCCAGGGTAAAGAGAAGGATTTCGAGAAATATGGGACTCGGTGGCGGCCTTCCGACCGTACGGAAAGCCGCCACCATATTTGTTCCACCATGGTCTCCATATGTCGTCGCCGCCGCCGACGCAGGAAAATCGGAGAATGGCAGAGGACAGACTGAATTGAAGTTGGCGAATTTGTTAAGCCCGTACGTCTGATTTTATTTGTGTCGCGTCGGGTTGCTTTTTTGGACTGGTAGAAATACTAACTAAAAACTACGCATTACTTGCACTAGCTACCTCACTCCCAAGGGTGAACCCCACTCCGAGAGTTTTTCACTCAAACGATAATTAGAGGTAGAGAAAGTAAATTGAACCTAGTTTTATTTACAAATTGGCTACGAGCAATGTAACATCTAACATGTACTTGGAAATCACATAAGCCTTATTTTAACGTAATTGTCTCTTACTAGAATTGTCAGAAATCAAATTCTATCGGGTGTTACTCCAAACTTTCATGATTTTAAAGTGAAGAGTACTAGGGAGTAATTCTTTGTGACCATAAAACAAAAAGCAAATTAATTGGGAAGTGGTGTGGTGGATTTGACTTTAGAGATTGATTTATGAACTCATAGCCACTCCACTATTTGTTGGAGGCACTCCACCTATCTCTTGGACAAAGTTCTTGGTTTACTCGAGAAAGTTCTACGGGGACAAATTGAATTTTATGAAGGCGTGTGTGCCGTTGAAGATTCCGTGGATGAAATTATAAAGAAACTTCAGGCATTCCGTCCAATTGAAGGTCAACCAAAATTTGATTCTAAGGTATATGCGTTCTCCGTAGAGGCCTTTTGCTCAATACAAGATTTAGTTCGTGGTCTCCCAATTATGCCAAGCCTGATTCCTATAGAGTTATACATTTTCAAAACAACCATGATGCGCTTTATTAAGAAACTCATCGGGACTCCAGGAGATTCAGCCCTTCCTGTACCTGTGCAAAACACAACTTTGCAGGACCAGGAATTTAAAAAGGAAATTTTTATTGATCCTGTTGGTGTTCCTGAAGATGATCTTATGATAGATCCCATAGATGTTGTTCCTGTTGCCGTTGTTGATGTTGTTGTTGATGTTTCTGGTGACGATGAACGAGACCACACTATCCAAGCAAAATATTCAAGCGATGGTATTATTTTTTATGGATGCACGAAAACATTTGGGATGTCAGAAAGCGACGTTGTTGCCCTTTATGATTCTAGGGATGTCACGCGTGCTGGCAAGATTTTCTTCTCATTGGTTCTCTGGAGTTGTTTGCTAGGAGTTGTGAATGCTTTGAGCTTGGCCGTTCACAACGCATGATTCCTCGTTTTTTCTGGATTTCCAACTTGAGGACAAATTGGTTTTCGAGGCGGGGGGAGTGTTACGGGACTTATTATTATTATTATTATTATTATTATTATTATTATTATTATTATTATTATTATTATTATTATGGTAAGGAATTATTTATAGTTAGTTAATTATTGTTAGGGAATAATATATTTGTTAGGTGATTATTTAGTTTTCTAGTTTATTTAGTTACCTTTTATAATTAGGATTCTTAATTTATTTAGTTACCATTTATTATTGAGATTCTCTAGAGTTAGAGCCTATAAATGTATCCATCACCATAGTATTATCAATCAATGAATAAAGAAAATACTTTCTCCTAAACCTTAATATCTCTCTTTCTCGCCTCTTTTGTTCTTGGAGCTCGAAGGTGCTCGAAATCCTTCCCTATCCCGATACGATACCGTATCAAAATCCAACTTCTCTCACGCAAGATATAAACTTATTTGGTGTTGCCTCTTTTTACAGATTAACTCTCACATATAGCCTCTGTGAATCTCTCTTGTAAAATCAGTGAGCTAAGCTAATCTGTGAGAAGAGGCGCAGGTTATATGGTTAAAGACATAACCCCTTTTATTTTGGAGTACAAAATGGAATCCGTTCTACACCGAACTTAACTTTTAATACTTGCCCCGTTCGCCATAGACCTTCTCAAATTGACTTTTTGTAGTTTTTAAGTGGAACTGAAAAAATGTGAAAATTTACTAAAATACTCTTAATGAAAGTAGTAACACCTTAATTTGTCTAGGTCTGCAGCCCCTTTCGAACTAAAGTATTAACTTCGTAACGTCGAAATTTCAAAACTTTTAAAACTTTATCTAACACAACTGTACAAAAATTTTGGAATAGCATCGGTCCTCCAAAGACGAAAATGACGAAGGTTTGTCTTGTTCCTTTGTCTTCCTCATTTGACAAGCATCTTCCGAGTGCTGACCTTTGTTTTATTACAGGCTTAATGGATTTTATCCATACTCTGAGGAAGAGGAAGACTCGAGGCATGTCCAAAAATCAAAGCGAAGGTGAAAATGCCCAATCGCCGAGTGGGACTTAAGAACTCAGCGAGTTTGCTCCGGTTACTATTCACATCCCAATCTTGGCTCTGAGCGGCGCGCTGAAAAGGAGAAGGGTCATTGGGGGTAGAGGACGAGGAAGAAGCTCCCAGTTCTGACTTTCCAGAGCCAGAAACAATTCTGGCCGAGTGCACAGCCAAATCTAAGGACAAGAAGTCTGCCATCCAAGAAACCATCGACGTGGAGGGTGGTGATCACGCAGAGGCCGAGGCTGGGTTCTTGATGTTTGCGTTGTAGGATGAGGACGAAGGTCTTTTGTCCTTGTGAAAGATTTTGGCGTCCATTCATATGGCCAAGGTGGAGGTAAGAAATAATACTGATCAATTAATGGCGTCTTAGTGTTTGTTGGCTCACTTACCTTCTGTCTCTGCAGGCAACAACCAAGTTGGATGCAATGAGTGCCCGTCGCTCCAGTACGGGGTTTATCTCAGTGGCCAGTTTCCTGTCTTCTTTGGAGGTAGAGCTTGGCCGCCTGAAAAAGGTTTCTAAGGTCCATGGTGAACAAGTGTCCGAGCTTTAGCTCCAGGCCGTGTCTAAGTCAGAGCGGGTGATCAAGCTGCAGGGGGTGGTGAAAGAGGCGGAGGAGTCCATCTCCCAACTCACCAGCTCGATGGATGCACAGGAGCGGGATACCAATGAAAAGGTGGCTGCCCTTGAGGAAAAACTCCAACTGTCAAAGGAGAGAGGGCTGAGCTGGACATCGAGCTTGCGGAGGCTATCTCTCGTCAGAAATCAGCCAAGCTCATGAAGGAACATGTCGTCACTAAGTTTGTTGAGTCCCCTGCGTTCAAGGAGGTGTTGATGGAAAATTTTCCCAAGTATTTCAAAGAGTGGTCAAAGACCGAGGCCGGCTTGCAAATGACTGCTGATGACAGTGAGAGATGGTTCGCGGGTGGCGTTTATCATGCAATTGAGCTTGTCCTTTGGCGCGTTAGGAGAGTGGATCCTTCCTTTCCCCCCTTTAGGAGTTGATATCCCGAGGATGCATGATCTGGATTTGAACAATGAGCTTGGCCCCAACCTTGACTGCATGGGTACTGTGACGTCCGATGAAGATCCTCAAGCTGAGGGTGCTCAAACTACAGATGCTCCTCTGGCCTAAGCCAACCAACCCGATTTGACTTGTCATAAATGTCTCTGACTACTTTAACCGATCATTTACCTTGCTTTTCACCTTCACCCCCTATAAATTGTCAAAAGACTTTGCACTTCCTCATTGCTTTGCTACTGCTTACTTCTTATTTGCTTGAATATTTCCCTTGCTCGTGATGGCTTCCAGCGGCCAAGGCAGTGGTGCGAGACTTTCATCCGGCCCAAAGGATGGTAGATCCCCTCCGCCCAAACCTAATGGGGAAAATCCATCTAGTGAAAGTCCTTGGAGAGTTCGCTATAAGAACTTGGAGCCCATATCCACAGACCTTCTATTGGACTCTCTCGACATTTTAATATATTTTTATTTTGATAAAAAAGGACTATATTAAATATTTAAAATATTAATTATATATTGAATTTCGAAATTATAATAATAATTTATAACAAATTAATAATATAATATATTAGTAAGTAGTAATATATGATTATATGAATAATGAATGTATGACTAAAAATTTAATATTATATGAGTGTATATCTATATATTACGGAGTATATAATAGATTAATATATATTTATATTATTATATGAATATAAAATGTACTCCCTCCGTCCCTTAATAATGTTCTGTTTTTAACTTTTGGAGGAATTAAGGGAGGGATATTTGTGCTTTGACTTTCCCTTTTTACCCCCCAACCCTAAAATAAAGTAGAGAAAAGCAAAAATATGAATAGTGTAAAGTGGGATTAAATAATTAAATGGAGTACACATGCAATCAAATCGGCAGTACATTGATGAGAGGAAAACATGAAGCATCACATACTTCCTGTACGGCTGAACAAATACACTATACTACAATTACAGCCACCAATTTTTTTTGGGGAAATTTGAACTTCCCTCCAACCAAAACCCTCCAAAACGAAAATGGAAATACATCAAAATCAGAATTCTATTTAAGGAATGCATTGAATGCATTCACTTATTCTTTCTTCTCTTCTTAAGCTTCTTCATGGTCCCTCCTGAATCTTCTTTAGATTCATCCACTTCCTTTTCCTTTTCAGACGATGAGTCATCCTCGTTTGACAATCTTCCCCAAGTGATTGACGTGCCTTTTCCTAACCTCGACACTCTTGCAACAGAAAGCGAAAACAACGGGAAAGGTTGTTTACACAATGAAAAACGAAAAAGGGTGGTCGATGTGTTACTGCAACAGTCCAAAAACGGCAAACTTCAGTACGGTGTCATTAAGAAGGTAGCTGAGGAATTCAGCTTTTCAGTGAAAACAGTCAGCAAGATTTGGGCAGTAGCTACAAGTCAACTCGAGGGTGGTCTACCCGTTAATGTTGAATGCAAAAGGAAAGGGAATAGTGGTAGAAAAAGGCTCCCTCTAGACATGGAAAAAATGGCAGCAGTGCCTTTTAATAGGAGAAAGAACATGCGTGCACTTGCCCATGCTATGGATGTGTCAAAATCCACAGTCCATAGATGGCTTAATAGGAAACACATCAGGAGGCATTCAAATGCCATCAAGCCACTACTATCTAAAAAAGGTATGTTTAATAGACTGAAGTTCTGTTTGGATCATGTAACTGCCCCCTCTGTCCCCATTAGCCCAAAATTCCATGACTTTTATGACCATATTCATATTGATGAGAAATGGTTTGACATAACAAAACAAACCTCAACATACTATGCACTGCCAGATGAGGCAGACCCATACAGGACCATCCAAAGCAAGAGTTTCATACCAAAAATAATGTTTCTAGCTGGTGTTGGTAGGCCTAGGTATGGGGAGGATGGGGAGCTTCTATGGGATGGGAAAATAGGCATTTTCCCACTCACTTATGAAGCTCCAGCTCAAAGGTCTAGTAAGAACAGGCCTGCAGGAACAATGGAAGTAAAGCCCATCCCAATCATAAATAGAGAAGTGATGAAGATGATGTTGCTTACTAAGTTACTGCCAGCCATTAAAGAAAAATGGCCAGGACCATCAAGGAATATAATAGTACAGCAAGATAATGCTAAGCCTCATGTGGATGGCAGTGACCCTGATCTTATAGAAGCTGCTCAAGAAGATAATTGGAACATCCAACTGAAGTTCCAGCCACCCAACAGCCCGGACTTAAACGTACTTGATCTTGGATTCTTTAGGTTCATTGACTCTCTGCAAGACCAAACAGCAGCTAGGTCCTTGACAAAGTTGATTCAAGCTGTTACAACAGCTTATGAAGAACTATCACTAGAGAAACTTAATAATGTATTTTTGACTCTTCAAGGGGTCATGGGTGAGGTTCTAAGTCACAAAGGAGGTAACCAATTCAAAATCCCTCACATTGGAAAAACAAGGTTGGCCAGAGAAGGGACACTGCCCCAAAACTTGGGGGTTACCAGACAGGTCTATGAAACTGCAAAACTGTTCTTAGAGGAACAAATATCAGTACCTTGATTTAGTGTACTTTTTGATACATGTGCAAACATGGCCAAGGAAAGATACAATGTTTCTATGTACTTCCAGATACTTTTTGCACAATTATTGGATGTGAACAAGTGTTGCAGGGACATTTGAAAGCAAGAGAAGAACTTTTGAACATGCAAATTTTAGGCAATGGGATATTTTTTATTTTTGTGGTATTACAGTAATTAGATTGTAATGAAAGTATACATTATATTGTACTGCAAGTATACCTTATCTTTGGTCATGTATGTAAAAGTACCCTTATATTGTAATCAGGTTTAGTAAATGGTTTACCAAGCATAGAATCTGTTTTACTAATTTAATAGGCACCCATAGGATCTGTTTTACCTAATCAAAAGCCAAGCATAGCATCTGTTTTACCAAATCATAAGCCAAGCATAACATCTGTTTTACCAAAGCATAAGCCAAGCATAGCATCTGTTTTACCAAATCATAAGTCAAGCATAGCATCTGTTTTACCAAGTCATAAGCCAAGCATAGCATCTGTTTTACTAATTTTAAAGGCAACCATAGGATCTGTTTTACCAAATCAAAAAGCCAAGCATAGCATCTCTTTTACCAAATCAAAATGTACTTGTTGGCACAAAACAGAAAGGGTAGACCAGAAAAATTGATTTTTGTAAGTCTCCAACCAATAAGGGGTGACATTACAATATAGCTACAATGCCGAATATACCTCATACCTTTAAATCAGTCAGGGTAATGGTTGTTTGCATCATAAGTTTGCCAAAAAAACTTAAAATTGGACATGCAAAGCAGAACCAAAGACTGAAAATTAAGACAAGGGAGATAGTACTCTTTCTGGAGCGTAGTATTTTCTCGTCATCATCTAAAGGCTCATGGAAGAAAATTTCAATATCAGACATGTCCAATATCTGTTCTGAAGTAACTGATTCCTCCTCTTCCCCATCTTCTTCGTCACAGCCCCCTTCATCCTCTGAGGGAAAATGGCCTCCACCAAGGTACTTTTTCCGATACCACCATGTCGGATCTGTATCGGATGTACCAGATCCGCTGTCACCAGAGTCGTATTTAGGGATAACAGGTTTGAGAGAATTTGGGGTAGGTAAACGAGAAAGCCTTTCTTCGTCACTATCGCTTAATAGCTTGAAGCTGGGCATCGAAGAGTCACGAATCACCATTGGTGGTGATTCAATTTCTCAAGAAGAAGGGAAGATAGATCGGAACAGAGGAGGAGAGGAGAGGGGGTACAGTGCGGCGATGGGGAAGTGGAATGGGCAGGAGAGAGAAGGTGGGATTATTAGGGTAGGATTGGGGTGGGTTGGGTAGTATTTAGGTTAAAGGGCATAAATGTCCGGTTTTGGGAAAAAAGAACTTTATTTAGGGACGGAGAAAAAACGAAAGTGGAACTTTATTTAGGGACGGAGGGAGTATAAAGATTAAAGAGAGATAATAGGGATTAATAAAGAATTAGAGAGGAAATGAGGAATAGATTGAGAAATGAGAGATTGAGATTTGAGAGTTGAGTGTGGTTTGTGAATGGTGTGATATTTTAAAAAAATTGAGTGTATATTTAAAATGTATTAGTAACCTGTAACCCCCTCCCCTAGTCCTACCCCCTACCCCCCTACCCC